GCGTGATACTAGTCACGCGACCTCGCTGACGCAACAAATCATTAAATATTAACTCACAAAATAAATTAAACAATAATGCCTACACTAAACAGTCTTGTATATCCAACATTCAATACATCTTACTTGTGGCTCATCTATATCCACAACTAATTGCTTGAGAGAAGGTTTAGACACAGGAGGTTGTATTTAAAAGGCACTGTTAATGGACATCAGTCAAGAAGGTTTTGTGCATTTCAACATAATGAATATCTGCATTAACAGCGTTAAACATCATCGAAAAGTTTCTAGATAGTTGCAGTCCATTAACAATGCCTTTCAATCTCACGGCTACATTCTCGTTGACACTATGTTAACAAGCCTTCAATTCCACCTAGTAGATGGCTGTATTTTCTACCATTTCAAAGTGCCAATATTGTTGTGTTACAATAGTCCTCTAGTTGCAAAACTGATAAGATTTCACGTTCTTCATGACATCTAATACCTAACCATCTAAACTAAGCAGAAAATATTATGTTGTTTGATCCTGAGTCCAGGAATTCCAAGCGACTACCTAACAAAATTTCATCAGGAAGTATTTCAAATATTTTATTAAGCATCTGGAAGATGGGAGCGAGATTTATCCATAATTTATGTCATTCAGCTTGAATATCTGTGGAGCTGATATCAACACCTACCCAACTCTTCTCTAGTTAATAGAATTCATATGTTCTGCTAAATGTCAAACTCCCACTCCAGTGTACTCAAGTTGTATGTTGAAATAGCAACAGTATTACTGTTCTTGGTTGTTTATATATAAGGTTATTCTTCATGGGAAAGCTCCTGGACTAATTCAGTGTACATCGCATACAGGGTGAGATGTAACCAAACCTATGGGATGTGGGTAAGCTTTGCTGGCAAGCATTGTCCACATATTACAGCTCGTCTAGCCACTTCCAGATGACACATTTAGCATGTGTTTCAAGAGCACTGGATGCCAATCTAACCAGTTTGCTGCACAGACCACCTCAGAAAGCTGCAGCATAACTAAAATCAGTAACTCATTCTTAGTGACTTTCCATTATTTTACTCAGCTTCGACTGATCTTTATAAGAAAGACTGAAATTGTCAACAGTTCTAAATGGATAATGTCATAGATCAGTTATCTTGGTGGATGGAAAGATCTAGAAGGTCTGAAACATCAGCTAAAAGCCAGATAGCATTTAATATTCAACAGTGGACTTCTCTGAGTTAATCAGGGTTCCACGGATCTTATCTTCTGAACATTTTGTTCGCCTCCTCTCTCAACAGTGGACTTCTCTGAGTTAATCAGGGTTCCACAGATCTTATCTTCTGAGCATTTTGTTCGCCTCCTCTCTAACATAAGTTTTACCGGATCTCAAAAGACATCTCTTAGACAACAAGAAAGAGAGAAAAAAAATTGGGGGGATCAATGGCACGATTACTAGATACTAGTCAATGGCGCCAAACTTTCATTCGGATCAAGATAAACTGAGTTACTACAAAGATAAACCAAGTACACGGTTACCTTGTTTTTGCAACAAAGACAGATTGGCAGACCAAGTAGGTGGAAGGTCAGTTGAAAGTAGAAAGAAAGAGGCGTAACATGTTTGAAGTCAGACAAAAGAAAACACGTTATTACCCCAAGACAGGAAAAAAAGAATGATTGAAATAATAGCTGATTTTTCTAATTTTAGAACAATTACACTGATTGGTTAAGTTAAGAGTAAAATATCGAACCAAACTGAAGTTAAGAAAATACAGAATAAACTAAACTGTATTTTACTGCTAGGAAGCAAAACTTCAGTACAATATAGGTGAATGGTTGCTGATTCAGGTACAGGTAAGCTCACAACACATATGGTTGGCACCCACTTAATTAAACACTGAAAGTAGTATGAGACTTTACTAGTAAGTCTTGGCTCTTTCAAAGGAAACAGAAACCTTTATTTAACTATCTTTCAGACTGATGATAAGTCCTTCGTCAGGAGTTAGGAGGTATAAAAGAAACAACGTATAGCTGAGTGTGCAGTATAAACAAAACATACAGGTTTCTACTTGACTCTCACAAGTGAGAAACGAATCTCAACGAAAATGTCATACTTGTTCTCACATTTCACATTTTTTATGCATTTGATCAAGTAGAAAAGTATATGAGAAGCTATCTCTGCTTCGTGTGACAGCCATGAAGCAATTCTACTAACACATGATTGTATATAACACATTCCCATCAAACAGCAGATAGTTTCTATAACAGAATTCTGGTACAGAAAGCAAGCTCGTATTAAATAAATTGAACTTGATTCACTTGCAAAGGGGCCCCGACAACAGGAAAAAAATACCTTACGAGATTTCAAAAATATATGACTATCACAAAGGGCCTAAGTTAACAATACATGTATACGCCATTCACTCATTTATGTTTTACAAGGAACACTATGCATTCTTAACCTATCTACTAATTCAACGGGACAGGGTACAAGGATCTTTTAAATTAATTATATTTGGCATTAAATTATTACTTAGTTTGTTTTTATAGAGCAAAGTCACGTTAAGCTATCAGTTGTGTCTATCGAGGGAAAACAAGCCCCGGATCTTAGTATTATAAGTCCGTATACTTACCTCTGTTCCACCTGGGGGACGGAAATTATTAGAGAAGAACAAAGAATCTGCACAGTCAGTGGTGCTTGTGTGTTTTCTAATGAGAAAGATTCAAGTTTTTTTAACAATAACATAGGAACTTGGTCTGATAATTTTGTTTGTTTATTTTTAAGCGCGAAGATACACAATGTGCTTTGCCTATCACGGTTATCGAAACTTGGTTTTTAGCATTATAAGCCTACAGACTTATTGCTGAATCACGGGAGAATATTCTAATAGCTACAGATTGTATATATATCATATGCTCAATCAAGCTTAAGGAAGGAGATGCAACTTTCCATAGTGCACAGGGCCCATAAATTCTTTAATCCGATGCTGAAAGAACGTAACAGCAAGGATTGATATTGTTTGTTTGTAGTTAAACTCAAAGCTATGCAATAACACACAAACTTACCGCTGAGCCATCGGGACCCCAAAGTTGAACTGGTAGATTATCTTGACCGGATTTAGCATGCTTGGAATTAGAATTTTAGAAGTATTTAAAAACCTTTTGCAAATAGAAAATACATAATACAGAAGAGTGATATATTTGGAACTTACATACAAAAATAAGACATAAATATCAGTCTTTCTGTCTTCCTTTTATATGTTTTTATTTATTATTTTATTTATATGTGAGTTAATGAATAATGGTAAGGGCTAGCAAAATACATTTTCTCTTTTTTCTTTTTTAGGTTAGAATCTGATATTAGAAATATCGGTTTTGGTTTTTGTACTAACTTTCATCATTGTTATATAGTGCTGATTTGATCGCCTAAATGCAATTGATGTAATATAAATATATATATATAGCTTTTAAAGATAAAACATTTTAATGTTTTATTTACCGATAGTTAAGAATCTCTCATAAGCCCTTTTTGATTTCCTAATTTCTTTTTTAACCAAAGCTCTGCATTTCCCATTGTTCTGTAAATATTCCGTCCCATGTACAAATGAAAGGAGAAAACTTGGAAGCGTCGTGAGAGAGCTTGTAAAACTGGAATCAAAGAGGGTTTTGGGAGATCTTAGGTTTGACTGAACTCATATAGATGAAATTTTTTTATAGAAGTTTAAAGGGCATTGGAAGTATCTACGTTTAAATGTTCGAATTTTCACATTGGGATCTCCTTATGGGCGCTCAAGTGGGTTTTGGAAGACTAAGAATTAGCTTCACAGATTTTCTTGAAAACTGACAAAAACACGTAAATTGTTATTAATAACAAGGACTGCAATCTCTTTCGTACACATTGTTTCCGTGAATTTTCACAAACAATTTACTATTTTTTTATACTGCTCCTGTGCATATATGGCCTATACGAAATACAGAATATTGTTTTATTTCTTAGTGTGCTGCACAGATGGCGGTAGCTACGTATAGATAAATGGCAATCCATATGCCTTGGAAGAATGTTGGTTGCAGCTTTTTCAGCCATATTAATATTTATATCACTCACTGTTCCATATTTGGCGTCATACTTAAATTAATATTTTCATATAGTCTGTGTATATTCTATTAAATAAATATCCTCCCTTGTCGCTTTCCTTTTTTATATAAGTAAATACCAGCAATTGTGGACTGTATCGTAGTTTATCACATCATATTTTGTTACTTTCAAAAACGTTTTGTATATTATTTATATTGGAAAATTACTTTAAATACGATTCTACTTGACACTTGATATATATATATATATATATTACACGAATTTGTAATCTCATCTTTTTCAATGTTTTCAATAATGTCTTTCTTTTAATTTTATGTTCATGATGAAATAAAACTTTGCTATTTCAAACTGACACGAGCAATCTTTTATTTTCTTTGTTGTTAAACAAAAACAACAGAACGAGTTATCGATGCTGTACCCATTACCGGTATGGAAACCACATTTTTAGTGGTGTAAGCTATTAGACTTATTACTAAGCCAATGGTAAATTTTATTTAATGTTATTGTATTTACAAATTGTCGTAGCTAAATAGTAAAAATTTCCATGAAAAATATTCACTTTTATTGAAAGATTTTCATTAATGTCTTTCTTTAAACTGTATGCTAATTATGAAATAAGTCTATGCTTTTTCAAACTTACACAGTTAAATACACGCCCAAGTTTTTATTTTGTCTCTTTGTCAGTGGTTGAATTCACAAACTGTCCGTAGCTAAACATGAAAAAGTTTCATTGAGAATATTCACTTCAATTGAAAGATTTTGCGTGTGGCATTTAATTCCTGCTTAAATCCTAACTTCTTATTTGTTAATTGATTAAACATCAGGTTGATGAAACGAAACTCTAATCAGTCTGAATATATGTTTCTTTTATTTCTTAATACAAAGATAAAGTCACCTAAAATCTCGCGTACCACGAGAGCACAAGCGCCTAAGTGTGATGAGCGTCGTTCTTCAAAGGCGTGGAATAAGTAAAAATAATATAAACCTACTGCGTCATAGAATATTAAAAGGGCAGGTCTTTGTGGAGACTAATTAAGAAATAGGTTATTTTCAAATTTCGTGAAGTGAGCTAAAATCACCGTAACAATTACTAGTTTGTGAAATAAACTGAAGAATGACAAAAAAGGTAGATACGATTCACATAAACGGAGCGACTGACGAGAACAACGACGGTAATGCCGAAGACCAAGTCCCCGAAGCCGGCAACATCTTGTCGAAAACTCAGGTAAGACAGTGTTACTGTTAGCATTAGTTTTAGTAACGTAATACTGCAGGCCTGTATTAACTAATGTGCACTCGGTGTACTTGCAAAGGACCCCAGCTCAGAGGGAGCCCTCGACAACGCGAAAAAAATACCTCAACGACATTCCAGAAATAGGTGTATATGATAATTACAACTGGCCTAAATTACAATACCCATAAATGTCATTCATTCAGTTATGTTTTACAACGACCACAATGCTTTCTCAGCCTATTTAATACTACTGTTACTAATAATACTATAGCTCAAAGGCCTAGGGTATAAGGATTTTTTAATTGTATTTTACATTAACATTTAAATTATTAGATTAAGAACACAAAATCTTTGCTCTTTCATTGTTGTTTGTGTGTTTTTCTCTTGAGAAAGATGATTAATAGTTGTTCTAACAATATCATATGCTTTATCTATTATATAGCTTAGTTAAGGAAAGAGACCAATTTTCCATAGTATCAGGGCCCAAAAATTCTTTAAATGTTTAATCAGGCACTGTGTAATATTATAAAGTTTTGTGTTTTTTATAATTTATAAGAGATTCCTAATTTCAAAGTACAACTTATTTTTTATTAAGGTTTGCAATTATTTGTTAGATAGAACAATAATAGCTGGAAGAATTAACCATTATACAGCTATATTAATATTTATCCATCCAAAAAAATGTGCTGCACCATAAAATCTTATAACTTATTTATAAAACTACTTTACTAGTATTACAATTAATATAGTATGTCATTGACTTCCACCCATTCATATAGTTTTATCATTTAATTTAGCAATAAAATTAAAAAATTAACAAACTTAAGCAGACCACCAGTGATAGCAATGCCTCATTTGTAGACATTCATAATATATCCACTGAGTGTGTTTAATGTTTCTGTCTGTAGTCATTGTGGACATAAATATTGCAAATTAAAGACTGTTCATTTTAAAATAGTTTATAATTGTTAATTAATGTTATATGAGTATTAGTAAATAGAAGTAATAATGGTGTATATTCAAAAAAGTAAAAATAGTAAAGTCAAATAGTTTGTTATCAACGATGAACGATATTTAATAAAAGCAAAAAACACAGAGGTTAAGTGAATTAACAATTCTTTTATCTTAGTCATACAAGTTTACAATTGTTTTGGTTCATTCATGTCTACTCAATGTCAGTTTATTTTGTGAGAAGATTCTAAGTTATAAAGTGTTTAAATACGTTTCAGACTTTATTTTGTAATTTTTTTTTGTGGGGAATCACTGGTTACTTTCTATAGGGGAGTACTGTTAATTTTTGGTGATTAATTTCATAAACTGATTCATACAGTATGTGATCTATCTACTATATATTGGTGGATTTCTCAGCACTGTGAAAATAAGGAAATTCTTAAGTTACTGTATTTCAAACTTTGAACAGCAGAATCAAGTTTTTAAATTCAAAAACTCATTCAACCCTTCAAGCACAAAATTGCCAAATAACTTGTTGAGCAACAAAATAATAAAAGCTATTTCTTATCTATAATCCTTTACTCTCCTTTAATAACTTAAAAATATTTTAGATGTGACATGCAATCACAGTTAATTATCCATTATTATTCAGAGGACTGATTGGTTATTTATTTATTTGTTAATTTCTTTTTTTCATCAAAATGTGAATTTCAGTGAAGAAAAGATGATGTAGAGGCCTAATCAATTAAATGATTCACTTCTCCTGTTGCAATGGAATAGTTATGTCAAATTCATAACTCATCAGTAGTTCTTGGAAGAGCACAGCAAATATGTAAAGTAGACTTCATATAATGGTAGAATGTAAGCAGTTTGTTAGGTTTTGATGTATAATCCTTTGCCCATCACTAAACGTAAGGCCTATTTAATTTCTTTGCTTCATTCTTCTAAACAGCATTGATGAGTTGTGAATTCAGCAAAACTTTTCTGTTGAAGCGGAAGTAGTGAATCTAAGAATAGATAGGCCTACCATAATTTTTTCTTCACTGGAATTCATGTTTTGGTGAATAACAGAAATTAATAACTAAATAAAAGCTATTTCTCTTCAAGCTTGTCAATAGAAATCTTTATTATTTAACTTTATTATTTTAATATTTAACTTCAGAAGGATATAGATGTACCTTTATCTATTCTCAAGAAATACAAGTCTTACAATTAATTCTAAGAACAAACCTTGTTTTTTTTAGGGTTTTGTCATTGGTGTTAAACCTTGCTAATCTTCAGCATAAAAATACTTTCTCTTGCTATTATTTTAATCTCCATAAGTATTTAATATAATTATAATGTATTATAATATAATTATAATACATTAACATTTGTTATTTCTAGCTTTATTCATATTTTAAATTTTTTCATGGCTTGTTGTTAAATCCAAAGGTATGATAGCCTATACTGCACTCTTCAGGGATATAAGCTATGAAATAAAATTACATTTATTCGAGGGAAAGCTATCAAGAAGATTACATTCCCTCATGAATTGTTTTGTATTTAATCCATGCAATATGTTCACTTTCATTGGTCATAATTAAAGGGATACAGGCAGACCATGCATTTCTGATTGGGAAAGCCAACTAAAAAAGATGAAAAGTTAAATTCTTCAGGAATGCAGAAATGAAATATTTTGATCCCTGCTTTTCCTATCATTTCTATATTTTACTGTGAAACAATACTAATATTAAAAACAGTATTCAAAACATAACTTAAGAAAAGCCTTATGAAATCTTTTTATGAATTTTGAAAAATAGACTATAGAACACCACTTCTTCCCTAACCTGTAAGTACTAGTGTGGGGTGATATGGACTCCAGCCAAATATTAATGGCTTTCAATCTGTTTAGTCTGCAAATAGATTTTTTTCATGTGAAAGCTTTACTTGGAAAGGAAGGATAAACTAAATGTTCCTTTAAAATTTTAAAATAAGTATTTCTTCTGTACATACATATATATATATATATATAAAATTTAAGCAGCCTTTAAGGGAAAATTTTTTAGTAAGAAACTGCTACTTATTGGAGGTAGTTGTTAATGCATCGGTATCTTATCTCTAGAATTAATATGAACTTTCAATCAGAGCAATCTTTCAATCTTCTTAGAGCAAAACTACAAACCAACCTAGTAATGACTATGGTTAATTAAGTATACTTTCTAATAAAGATTAGACTGCACTGTTTTGTCACTTGGGTACCCTCACTGTTAATGATATTTTTGGCCAGGGACTAATAATATCACATAAGATTTGACAAGCTTAGGAGATTTAGGTTAGTCTTAAGTCCATATACTAAGCTAATAATACAACACTATAGAATAATAAAAGTATATTGATAAAAATAATAAAACTAACTATTTTAAATATTCTAACTAATACATTTAATGAAAGTAACATTGAAGAAATAATAGAACATACATTTCATTCAAAACACTCAAGCATTAGCTGTTAGCAGCTTCATGTAATGTAATAGATTATGTTCATTGAACAACATAATACCATTATAACCGTGTATAAGCAAACTTCTACAGTCCTCTCTAAAGATGATCTGTTATCAGTGAAACTCATTAAATGACTAACAGTGTAACTTTAGGGGAGTATGGAATCCGAGATAAACTGCTGTTATAAATTTCTGTCAAGTTGTGGAGTCAAGTATCAGGATGTTACCAATAGTATAACCAGAAATAATATTTGTCAAGGCACAAAATAATAAATAGCAAATTAAATAAAAAGCTCAATTGTACAATAAATAGCTAGAATAATGGTACTCTAATAAAAATACAACAGTGTGAAATGTAATAAAAAAAGAAAATCAATATATTACACGTACTATGAGGTGCATCTAACACAATTAATCTGACCCTAACTAATCTTTGTCACTTAGAGCACTTGGAATGGGCAACAAGAAGTAATAAATAAAATTAAATCTTTTGTGAGAGCCAAAAAATAAAAGGGATAAGATTTAAGTTTAATAACAATAATAAGACTTTGGAAAGGATGTTACAAGAATTGAAATATGGCAAACAAAGTAAATGGGAAAAACGAATGTAATGTAAGTAATGATATATATGGAACTTTTATATGGCTAGCACTAACTGTGATCTATGTACTTAATCTGGTTCACACCATAACAGTTGTTGTTCGTGAAAACTGAT